CACAGCTGGGATGTTGAGGTTAGAGGTGATGCAGACTGGGCAATGGGTGTGATAGCAGAGTCTGTTCCAAGGAAGGGAGAGATTCTGACTGGGTGCTGGTCGATGGTAAATACAGAGCATACTCTGCCCCAGAAGCCGCCCCAGAAGATCAGAGTGCATCTGGACTGGAGCAAAGGAAAGCTGTCATTCTCTGATCCGGATACTAACACATACGTACACGCCTTCTCACAGACTTTCACAGACTTTCACACAGCAAAGTTTGTTCACATTACATACATTTGTATTGTTGTAAAATGCCTGCAAATATTTAATGATATTCCCATCAGCCTCAGTTGTATTTTGTTTTTAGTGCTAATAACAAATGTAACAAATATACACTACTTTGACTGAAGAGAGCACTAACTCCAGAAAAGCTGAAGTTGAGAAAGAATTGTTTTCAGCTCACTGGTTAAACTGTAACAGATGCATAGGATGTAATTCCTAATTTTTAAAATTTGTTTCTGAGCTTTCTATTTACTCAAATTTTTAAAATGATACTCATAATAATGACCTTAAAATGAATATAATATATTAACGTACACCTTAATACGTTAACTTGACCGCGGCAAATTCTACTATGGAGTCAAAACATGATCTTGCAGTTACTGCTACTCTGCTAAGCTAACATTGGGCTTTTTACCTGGACAAGTTTAGTTGTTTTTTTATTATTCATGACTGTATTTAGCTTCTGCTTTATATTTGTGGGATAACAAACTAAATAATAAAAATGTTAGTTCACCAAAATCAATATTTATCAATTTATTTAACAGTTAGTGGGCAAGTAAAGTCAGTCGAGGCTAGCTGTGGTTATCTCTAGCTAGATTTAACAGGATTTGACTCTCTAGCTTTACGTAGGTGTGTAATTGAGCATTTGGTTTGGTTTTTAGCTGTGTTTTGGAATAGATTTCTATGGCATAAAAAATTGTGTATCACAAATAAACATCAACAAGTCATATCATATTAGCATGTTAGCATGCAGATATTAGCATTTAACTCAAAGCACTTAAATTCTTGGTTTAGCCTATAAATTAAAAAAATTATTCTGGCATGGTATACCTTCTTATATTTCTTTCAGGAAAACATTTATTGTGTTTATTTTGAGTCTTGTAATATAGTCAAAATGCCAAATGCAAACTAGCATAGATCTTGTATTACAGTTTGTTCTTGACTTTAAGGATCCACTATGATATTTGTGTGTTATACGTAATTTAAGTTAAATATGTGTCAGTCAAGTTTTATTGCATATCTGATGTTTATTTTAGCTCATTAGCTTCAAGCTAACACTTTTCTTATGTTTTTTTGTTGTTGTATTGATATGTTGCTATACAGTACATTACAGAATCAGAATCAGAAAATACTTTATTGATCCCCAAGGGGAAATTTGTTGACTTTAACAGGCACTGTCGGCACATGCGCACTTCATTGAAATAGCTGATGAATAGATGATTACAGGCTAAGCACTGACCAGCTCCTATTCACTCACAATACCTGGTAGCCTACTTGCAATTAGAATTAATAATAAAGCTGTTAACAGACTAAAGAGGTTTTGGGAGAAATTACATTTTCTATTCATTGAATTTTATTTGGTTGACAGGCTTTGTACTTGGATGTGACTGGCCAATAATTTTGACACGAAAAACCTCAAGCATAGTGTAAATAAAGACTGATGGAAGCAAATTCTGCAGTTGTCCTTTTTATTATTATTCTGTTCTTGCAGCAAACATATCTAATATTAGTCCAGAAACTTGTTACATCAACTTTACTTAAGTCTAACTGACTACTTTTGGTACCACACATCATAATATTCTGTTAGATTACCTGAAGAAGTGAGTTAGTATATCTGGTATACCTGTTTTACATGTTCCCTTTTACATTATCCATATCCACATTTTGCTGTGTCTCTTTGCTCGGCTGATGCCCAGATTTTTATATTTGTTAAACATGGGAAATAAAAATCACAACAAAAACTGAAAATCTGATTTGGAACAAAGACCAGAACTTTGTCCAAATCAGACCTGCATCCTTTCTTATCTTTCCGACAGCTCAAAGAAATTATAATTTTTTCTGTCTCCACGTTGTAATTAAGTGTATTCTTTTTGAAGCCAAGAAGCTGTAACACATCTGCTTCAACATTACCAACTATAACATCATTCCTGTATCACCCTGGAGCTGGAGTTACTGGCTTCTGGGAAGTGCTATATAAGTAAACATAAAATATGAAATAATATATAATAAGAATGACATACAATAAATATTATAATTAAACAATATTAACATAAAACATAAACGCACCTGTATAAAATTAACAACTCTTAAATATTTCTTTGCTCATATGACAAGTTGTATGTGTTTATAGTGACCTATACCAGACTTTGGTTCAGATATTTGGTTAGGACAAACTAATGCCCCTTCCAAGGAGAAAATGACTAACATGAACATGATGTCAGAAATAACAATAAGGTAAAAATGAAATGGCAAATTAGTCTAATTATCAGGCTAATTATAAACAAATCACTAATCTGCACTCAAACACACACAATTACAAATTGGTCTCAGGGCCTTCCTAAATATCAAATTAAAAATTGCTTGACTGATTGTTTAATATTTTTGTCATTATTAAGCTTCCATACTCCTCTAATGTAGTTGTTTAGGGAGCAACAGGGTCATGGAAAGGAGTCAAAGCAGGCTGTTTGTTACTGTAATGTGTTCAGAACTTAGTGTCTGTTTTGTTTTCTTGGTTCCCAACAGGACTGAGCTCTGAATGGATGCTGGACTGCTCTGGGTTTCGGCCTCTTCGTTGTGCTATGTGTATTTTATTGGCTGGAGGTGACGGGTCAGGGCCCTTGTATAAGAGGGCTAACTTACATCCAGTTTCTCCTTTTCTAACTTGTACAAGAAGTGTATAAAGTATGTATTTGTTGCTGTGTTTTATAAAATCACATTGTGAAAATCATAGGCCTATATTGACTTTTCTAGGGTAGTAATCAATCACACCCTAAAGTGATCAGGGTTTCATTCTAAAAATTCTTTATTTTTAAGATCATGTAGTTTTTGTAATGTAATTTTACAACACATTATTGCATAATGATTTTTATGATGTGTTGGATTGGTGTCACTACTATTGCTTCAAAATGCACGAAAGTCTGCATTTACCACCACTTGTTTTTACATACCTGGAAATGTTATAATTGTATATTGAACCTATACAGTGATTTACATCCTAGAGATCTCTCATTATGCACTTCTCCTGCATTGTTAATTTCTGAACATGTTATATCACATTAGAAGATTTCATCTAATGACCAGATTTTATACGGTATACGGAAGCCCTGAGTGGCAAGTCAGAAAAAATATTCTGTTGATCCATTTTTTAAGTCTGATCTTAATTGGTTTATTTCATGTGTTTATGACTTAAGAACAAAGAAATATTTTTTTTGCCAGATGATTCAGTGTTTGTTGTTGTAATACTCATTTGTACTTAGTGCACAACTAACCATTGTTCTAAATAGGACTCAAAGCATTCATGTTTTCTTTCACGTAAGTTTTAATTTATCTTAGTGCCAATTAAAATACATTTCTAACCATAATAGAGACACCTATGGCACATTACTTGCTAACATACAATAAATGTACCATGAGTGCATGAAGAAATAAAATTCACCTTGAAGAAAACATGAAAGAAAACTTGCCAATACTTCTCTTTTCTTACTGGAATATAAAGAATCAGATTTAAAAAAAAAAAATACTTCTAAAAAGGTTTAAAAAGGGAGTTTCTACCGTAGCAGGCAGGGCAAAGAGGGACTTCTAGGATAACTCCACTGTGTGACCTGTTTGACATGTATTTCTATGTGTATCATTGTTTGTAAGTCATTATTTTGACATTTTGATTTATTATTTTGTACTTAAAATTGTTCACAGACTGCGGATCTGCTGGCCAGTCCAACCTACCCTTCATTTTAAATCACCTGTTGGAAATATCTTACTTTTCTGTCGTTATGCTTAGAAACTAGAAGTCTAGTCTAACCCAACATCAGGCATTCTTTTATAATAAGTGCAGTAACAATTATGCTACTGTTATAAAGAATACCATATTTGTGAAAAGATTGTTGTGAATTGAAAAGTCTATAAAGAAGTGTTCATGTATTCATATATTGTACTATATTCAAAGAGATAAACCACATGGATTATAAAGACTGTGTTGTTGTTTTAGCTTGAATTATGATTAGGGAAGTCAGTTTTCTGCCTTCTGAGCTGCTGAAATGTTGTAATGTAGAAACTGCTAAGCTGTGATCCCTGTTTTGGATTGAAATGTTACTCCATCACTTCTCTGACTGCAGTCAATACATTTATTATGACTGTCAAAAAGTCTAAAATGAAAGGGCCAATTTGCCCAAATTACAAAAAACAAAACAAAAACCAATCGGATTTGCTCTTAGTGGTAGATAGATTTTTTCAGGTTCAGTGTGTAACATTTAAGAGTATCTATTCGCATAAATGGAATATAATATTCATTACCTGAATATGGGAATCGTTGTGTTTTTGTTACCTTAGAATTAATCTTTTATATCTACAGACACTGCAGGTCGCCTTCCATGGAGTCTGCTATGTTGAACTGCCATGTTTCTAAAGTAGCCTTAAAGGGACAAACCAAACACTGGCTCTAGATAGAGGCACTTGCGTTTGTTTGCGCTTTACACAGCCACCATAGTTTGTCCTTTACGCTTGGAATGGAGGGTACAGTGAGGGAGTTGTGATCTGCAACTGCCACTAAATCCTACACACTAGTCTTTCAAAAGAAGCCAACAACATGGGGGTCCAAAAATGGTAGACTCTTAAACTGAGTGAACAGCATAATCTGAGATTGAGAGTGAAAAAATTTTTAAAAAACTGAAAAGCATATTAGTGTTATGGTAATGTAATTTGTTATTTACAGTAAAGTATGTTCGCTACAGTTGTTAGCCTTTGTTTTCATTTAGCTTATATGACAATTGAATACACGTTATGTGACTTCAAAGCAGTTTTTTTCAAAGATAATTCCTGCTCTTACTCTTAATGCCAGATCCCGGAACCTGTATAAAAGAAATTACCCAAACTATGTGCCCAGTTTATAGCTGTATAATCTGTCTGCACCGAGGCTAATATGTTCCTCTACAACATGACCCCTGGCAAACTGATGATGAAGGTTTTTATTTTCAATGCTGTGGGCAAAACAAATAAAATGCCACTCACCTCCACTGTGTGAGTGTGTGAGACAACTAGAAGTAAAGGAGAAAATGTGTTTTTTTCTGATTTGGGTGAATGAACCCTTTAAATGTGGTGTTCATAGATTCACTAGATTCACTCACTTCCTGTATATTAACTGCCAAAATAAAATTACCACATTATATAGTAGAGGTGTGCAATCCAAGGACAAAATAACATCCTAATATTTTCTGGCAATTTGACAATAACCTTTATTATTATTATTATCCTGTTTCTACCAATTGAATGTGATGTTAATCTTCCAAAACTATGTATGTACATTTCTGAATTGATCCACAAATAATCTACTCCAATGTGCACTTTTTCTTTTATCACATTTTAATAGTTGGTCCCACTGATGAAGTTAGGTCTCTTTAATTATTTATTCAGACAAATCCTCCATTGCCTTGGTTTGTGACTGCAGCAATACTTTTGTTGATACAGTTTTTGAGTGTGCATGGGTAAAAACTTTATTTTCTTTTATGACTGTGCAATCAAGGAAAATTACAGGTTGTTGTTTAGAGAAATAAAAATCTGTGTGTGTAAGTGTAAATACTTTTTTCACAGGGCAAGGCCTGATTTGATTCAGGTACTTGCTCATGGACACTGAAAAGGGGGGGTTTGAAGCCAAACAGACGGTAAATTCTGTGAAGGTAAAAGAAAGTAGAATTGTTATGAAGAGAAAAAGTAAGGATGTTTGTGACTTTTGGAATGAAGGGACTTTTATGTGGAATGAAATGGTGAATGCACATCAGGGACAGGTAGGTTTAGATGGATAGAGAGAAATGATCTTGTCCAAAGGGAAATTAAAGCTCAAATAAAGGCCTATTTTAGGTTTTTAACTTTGATGTGTTTTGCCTTCATGTACAGTGTTGGTTCAAAATTGTGTCATACAAGAGATGAATGACAGATGCTGATGTTAAATGTGTATTGTGAAAATGTAATAAATATGAAACCATTTTGCAGACCTGTCTATTATATTTTTCATTTACTCTTGATGTTAAAACATGACCTGTAGAATGAACCACAGACACAGTTTGTCCATTCCACATTGTACAAAAACAATAATGTTTTAGATTTCATGCTAGTTAACAGGATTTTTGCAAAAACCACACAGAAACACAATGGAGGTATCAAGTGTCTGGTTATCTTTAAGTGCTCAGTCCCTCGATCCCGCGTGGCACAGTCGAGACAAGTTGCCATACACAGCATCAGGTAAGTTCTTCCAGGTGATTTGGTAGGATCTGTATGAACATATAAAAGAAACAAATCTTCCCAAATAAAGACCAAGACAGTAATTTATGGAAGCCTTTTCAGGGACATGAGAAAATAAAATCTGGTAATCTGTTTTGTAAGTTTGATGTAAAAATTGTTTTCTCTTGTGTGTTTATGAAAAAAAGTTTTGCCAGATGATTTTTTTTGTTGTCAGGATCATTTATGTGTTTCCACTTTTGCCTCTTGTGGCTGAAATAAGTATTACAACAACCATCACTATGAAAAAAGATCCTGACCAGAAATTAAAGAACGTAAAAAGATTATCCTGAAAAAAGATTTTGACAAGAAAACCCCTTTTTCCACCTGTTTAAGTCATAAAATACCAGAATTTTGGATCAGACAAAGCCTAATGGATGACCAGAATTTTCTTTTCACTTGCCTCTCAGGGTTAAGTAGTTCTTAAAATAGGTATCAGGATTATTTGAATTAATTTCAAATAATATCTTTGGGAATAGGATTTGCATCAATCTCACGTCTGTATGTTAAATACAGAGCTAGTGTTTAGGTTAGCTTACCATAATATCATCTCACTCAAATAAAGAAAATAATCATTTGAATTAACCATTCTTTTAACTCAATAATTAAGCCTGGAAATGGAATAAACTCTTCAGAGAAAGAGGTTGTACTTGGATGCTCCTCAAATATGATAATGTCTAATCTGTCCTGTTGAGGAGTTGAGGTAGTCTATCTAGAATCAGTTGTTTTAAGCAGCTGATGACCAAAGACATTTACATTTTCCATCTTCTGAAAACTCCATCGAGCACTGACAAATTACCGGCGTGTTTGCAAAGGCCAAAAACCGGCTTAGCACTGTTGAGGCTGGAATGTGTGCTAAATAAGCAGCCAGAGTTAGAGGCTTCTCTGCTGGCTGTGGGTCCATATAGAAACTGGGTTAGGAGGGTATGTAGGTGGATGGATGCAGGATCATGTTGCAGAGCCCTAACTGTATACACACAGAGGCATTTAATGCCAGTGTACATGCAGCGCATTCCATTAGCCAGGACACACACAGACACACACACACACACACACACACACAGATAAGCCATATGTTGCTTGTCAACAGATCAACATCAGAAATTATGAGGATTATAGCTGGGTGACACAAGATTTTTTAAGGAATTTGAATTTAAATACACAAATGAACTATTGACAATAACATCAAACCACAGAACATAATTCACTTATTACACAAAATGTGATATGTTGGGCGCCCGGTTAGCTCATCTGGTAGAGCAGACAACCATGGACCGACCTGCGGCCCTTTGCTGCGGGTCATCCCCTCTCTCTACCCCCCTTTACTGAATTGATATAATATGTTTATTAATTACTTATTAAGCTTTATACTTTATTTAATACAAGTATTTTCAGTTCAGGCCAATTTTAGCACAGGGGCCTGACTGAGGCCAGTTGATATCAGTGGGGCCACTTAAATTAAGCCTGTAACCAAGGGTGCAAGTTTTAGGAGTGCATAAGGACGTCCAGGCATGTTGTCACAAGCCCTCAGACCGTTGGACCATATCCCAGAGCCGTCTGCAGACAAGTTAAAGTCAAACCACCTTCTGTCTGCCCCCTTCACCTAATGCTGCCTTCAGGTGCTTTTCATTAACTTCAGAATTCTAGATTTGTACTGTCTGTCCTCCACTCATTCAAAGTAATTATGGTTAAAAGCAAGTTTATAAATACTATGTTAAGAATGACATTGCCCATGGGTTGGATTCCATTCATATATGTATATTAAAGGAAAATGAGGGGGGAATATAACAAATGCAGAAGAATTTCCCTGGCATGGTTTGGGTCCATGTGTCCCGTTAGAGGGAAGGGTCACTGCCACTGTCATCACCATTATACTTGGAAACATTTAAATCCTGACAATATCAAATATAATCAACATAAAAAATGTCAAACACTGGGCTGCAGGGTTGGGGGAGGGCACTTAAACTTTAAAAAAATAATCAGACACACTTACTAATTACCTGTTCAAAAATATAGTCAGTAACTTAATCCAAGTATCACTATATAACCTAACTTGATTACCTTCTGTTACTTTTGGAGTACCTCAAGATCAAATATGTCAATAAAAAACTGTTGCTCCCCAAGCCTGTTTACATTGTACAAAGAAGTCTATATTTCAGTTTATTATACTGATAATATCATTTTACCAAATGCAATGTTCCAATTCAATGTATGAAACATTAATAAACATAATTAAAAGAGAGCATAATTAGTATAGAATAGAATTTATTTATTTTTATTACAATGCACATTGACAATCTTTTGAGAGTTTTTTTTTATAGCTTTCTTGTTCGTTGCTGCACATCCATGATATCCACGAGCCATTCCCAAATCTCCCTGGTTCTGACAGCAGTGAATGCATCTGGCGCAGTTATATGACGTCACATAAGCGCCAAGATAATATACATGTGGAACTGTGCGGCTGAGTTGAACAGCAGAGGTTCAGTTCATGTCTGTATCTCACAGCAGAGGTTCAGTTCATTCTTGTTCAGTTCGTGTCTGTATCTCACAGCGATGGCGTACTTTTAAAAGCTTTCGTTCCTTGTGAAGCTCTAAGGGACGAGCTGTGATTGGCTGTTAAATGCCGCCAGTTCGCTTTCTGCCAGCAGCAGCCGGTGAGCTAACATCAACAGCTAGTTGACACAGCGGCGTTAGCGAGCAGACATTAGCCAACTCTGCTCTTCACAAATGGCTGAAGATACTGTGAAAAACGACCCTTCTTCCGCCCGGCAGGGGGACGATAATACAGATAATAAGAGCAATAATGGCGAAGCTGCGGCAGAAAACCAAACTCTGTCCAAAAGGCAAAGGAAGAAGCTTCTGAAGCAACAGAAATGGGAAGAGGAGAGGGAGCTACGAAAGTAAGTATGGTCATTTTAACAGTGAGTAGTACTGTCAGCCATTCATTCAACTACAGAGGTGCCATAACAGTTTATTGGTATAACATATGCTGTCCATAACCTAAAGTAAGGTGCCACTGATGCTCTTCCTAAACTCTATGTTGACAAAAGAAGACACACGTATATAAACCCCATTATTAGGAAGTAAAACCATAATATGACTAAAATTGGTCTTATAACTGGGATGTGCAGAGGTGTGTCCTGTTTATTAAATATGTACCATGATGTAGTAGTCTGCAGCGTGGGGGCCTATTATTGCTCACACGCGATGTACCTGTCCTGTGCTTTGTGCTGCAGGCAGAGACGGAAGGACAGAAAGCAGCAGCGTCGGATGCAGAGGCAAAATCATCAGGAGGAGGAGGGAGAGGCCCAGGGTGTGAGGAAGCGTCCGCGCAGAGAGGTGACACCCACCTCCCTGAGGCTGGTGGTGGATTGCGGCTTCGACGACCTCATGCTGATCAAAGTAAGCAGCACCCATCATGTCCATATTGAGGTATGAACTGAGGCACTGCTGACTCTCCTGACTGATAATGTTGTGTCCTCAGGATGTCCGGAAGCTTCACAAACAGATCCAGCGCTGCTATGCTGAGAACAGACGAGCCCTGCATCCAGTGCAGGTTAGTGGCTGCCGACTGAAATGAAGCAGTAGAGACAGTTCTGTCTGAGCTACTGAATAATCACTCCTCTCACTCCTTCAGTTTTATCTGACGAGCCTGGGAGGACAGCTGAAACAGAGCATGGATGAAAAGGACAAAGGATGGGTCAACTGGAAGGTAAACATGATCCACGACTGATTTTTAGATTTTACATTAAAGCAGTTTCTCTGGTATCTGTTTGGGACACTTTTAAGCAGGCTGTTATAATGTCATACTATGCATAGTCAGTCATCCCCATATTTGAGAGGCTGAAAAACGCATGTTCTGCCATGTTTAAATGAAATATTGCTTAAACAGTGGATCGATTATCAAAATAGCAGTGTAATTTTCTGACTATTAATCGAGTAATGGACTAATAGTTGCAGCTCTATGGTATTTACATGAATGCACTCAAAGAGACATACTTGAGTGACCTTGTTAAAATCAGAAATCCTCATAGTTTATTTCTAAATAGAATCAAGTTACTTGAAGACAAACATTTTATCATAAAGTAATCAAAATGTACCACTTCTGTTGGTATTCATGTTATGATTCTATGTGAATACGCACATTTTGTTCGTGTACTGTTACCTCTGCCACAGCTTTTTCACTGCGGTGATCCTTGCTTTGTTTAATATCAGTGTACAGTAGCGCTGCAAGCAACCGTTATTTTCATTATCATTTAATATGTCGACCATGGTGCTGCTGTTGCGTGCAGGACATTAACATAAAAACGGAGCACTACAGTGAAGTGGTGGCCAAGGAGGAGCTGGTTTACCTGACGTCAGACTCTCCCAACGTGCTGGAGGAGCTGGACCAAAAAAAGGCCTATGTGATAGGAGGCCTGGTGGACCACAACCATCATAAGGTGCGTCTGGCAACAATAACACCCTACTGTGATCCCTACCCACTGATATGAACCGGTCTTTACATTTCTGTCCTGGTTTTGTTCACAGGGCATCACCTTTGAGAGGGCGAAGGAGCTGGGGATCGATCACGCGCAGCTCCCCCTGAGCAGTTTTGTTAAGATGAACAGTCGGAAGGTTCTGGCAGTCAACCATGGTAAGGGCTGGTATCAGACCAATATATGAGACAAGTTTTAATTCATGGCACAAATGGCTTTAGTATTTGCTGTCTATATCTTTGGAGTAAAATTGCCCACTTTAGTCTGTTCTAAAGTTAGCTGAAAATGTTAGCATATGTGGCTAACTAGCATACCACCTACACCTGTAACCTAGCATTACCAAGGCCAGGAGAAAGATATCATTAGCTAACTATTTTGCAGGGTACCAGTTTGTTAATAAAAAGCCCTATTCAGAACTACCACAGTATGGAAGCCATTTGATTATATCAGGTTAATGTTGGCTTTAGCGGCTTTAGTGGTCCTTCTGGTTCACCAGAGATACCTACGGAAGCCCTAAAGGGCC